TTATGTACATGCATATGTTGTTATAGATCTTCCTGAAGATTAAACTACATCTGCATTTGTATTGATTATGAAAGTCATTTGATGCCAATACTGATATTTATAGCCTTCTGATGGTGTGGGGGTGTTGAACCTGAAAACTTGTTTAGTATATAGGAATGACTGAGATCTTACCTGTCAGTGGAAAAAAAACATTGTCTACTTTTATATAGTGTGTTCTACTTTATAGCTATACAAGGGATTGATGCAGATTAATAGGTAACTAGTATTTGAGAGATTATTTAAGCTGTGTTTTCGTGATGAGAGAAGGTTGATTATGAACTTCAACAGTGTTAAAAGCACTGAAATGTCTGGACAGGAGAGCGGGTGGGCAATGACAAGTTAGAAAATTTATCCGAAACGTCGTCGCCTACTGATTCTCTTGTTTAAAGGAGAAAGTCATTATATCTCACTCCTATAAAAAACTACTCAGTAAACACTAAAAATAATATGCATAAGCTACAAGGAAACAAGTTAACATTTCTACTAATCAATATTTGTCTTTCATAAATCAACCCGGTTTCATAATCTTAAATTATTTTCAGAATTAAAGTGAAAATATGTGAATACACTATAGCTTAAATTAACACTTAAATTATCCTTAAAGTTTCCCACATAAGAGTATTTTGGATCAAATTTGCAAAGTTACGTTGATTATTTGAAAGGTTTACGGACTGATACCTTAATTAGGATTTATCATACATACATTCGTTTGTATATGCAAAATAGGTTGATCACGTATCAGATTGTTTGAAACACCTTTACATGTAGACGTTCATCTCATGATTATTTTACAAAATAATGAGTAAAAACAAGGATCTCTCTGACTTTCAAAGGGACATGAAGTAGGTGCCTGTCTAGCAGGTATATTGTAAGCAAACACTATTTCTTTGACAAGATGTTAAAATAGATCTGCCACTAGAGTCAATAAACAATGGTAACCGAAAAGGAATATGTTTGCTTCTCGGTAAAAACTGTGGCCGAAAACTAGTGCCAACAGAATGAGGGAAAAGATGACTGTAAAATACTATATTCTTATATTGTGTCCAAACTGACCGATTTCTTCAATAGTGATCAGGATTTGACAACCTCCAATCACACCATAAAAAATCATAACAAAGTCTGTCGATGCAATCAATAACCAGCGCAAAAAACAACAACAAAAACACTTATCTGAGATAGAAACAGAAAGTGTGGCTTTGGTGATATATAGTTTGTAAATTGTTGACAATGAATGCCTGAAAGCATATGGTGTGGTTTGGTGAGTCTTTTCTGATTGCAGAGCAAAAATACAGAAAACACAACATGAAGCATCTGACACTGCCTGTTTGGTTCCTTTTTTATGCAAGAGGATGAAGGTGGTGTAACAATGTGGGGAACATTTTCCTGCCAAGAGCTAAATCCTTTGATTTCTTTTGACTGGTTTGTTTATTAAGTACAAAGCTACACAATGACTCTGCCCACCACGGGTATCGAAGACCATTTTTTAGCATCTTAGGCCTACAAATTTGCCGCTTAGCCACTGGGGAGGGGGGAATTTCTTTTGAAAAGCAAATAATATCCAAGTGTACTTGAACATTATTATTGAACATATTTACCCCATAATGCTGTATTCGCTCAGATGAACAAGGGCTCTTTCAAAACTGTAATGTAAATAATCCACTCCTTTTATATTGTCCAAACCTGATTCTAAAACATTGGCAGTTACTCCTATCATTTTACGTGGCATAGATTCCATAAAATGCCGGAAGGTGTCTTGTTCGATTTTATCATTGTGGCATATGGTCTATAATTGATTCAGAAACAGAATAATTCTAGAGGATACTATTGATATGTATGAATTAGTTACAATTTACATGTAGTTACAATGCATGTATTAGTAAAAAAACATTCAAGTAGCCTTTTTGCTAAGTTTTTATTTTCATTTATTTTTATGTTATCTCTTGGTGATACTTTTTGTGTGTTCAGTCCCTTAAAAATAGTGATATTTTTACTAGAGTATTTAACTAGTTATGCGGCCATATGCTTAATAGTTTACTCACTGGGTTGATCTGTGTTGGAAGATAGGTTTCTTTGAAAAATTACTTAAAATGTCAACTAGTAAACATTTTGATAAATTATTTTTTCAAGGCGGAAAATATTGCACTCTCCTAGTCTCGGAATTATTTGCACAGCTGTTTAAATTGTTCAGCATCTGTTCTCATCCTAGCACCTTTTGTTAGTAGTGTTGTTCAAGTAAATAGCGTTTCTATTGTGTTTTTACGAGGTTTATTCCCATTTCGTCTACTCTAATGTAATCACATATCCAAATAAAGGTTGTATATTTTTTTCTGCAAGCTTGGTATGCTTCAGGATTCAGGTGCTTTCCTCTTGGAGCTGCCCCCCCCCCCCCCAGTGGCACAGCAGTATGTCTACGGACTTACAACGCTAGAATCCGGGGTTTCGATACCCGTGGTGGGCAGAGCACAGATAGCCCATTGTGTAGCTTTGTGCTTAATTATAAACAAACACACAAACTCTTGGAGCTATGGTGGTCACATTTATTTTATATGTGGTTTTTCGCATAAAAAGATGCGCACGCGCATGCGCGCCCGCCCGCCCGTGGATAAGATAAGTAATAATAGCCAGGTGTACACCCTCAGGCTCCACTTAGAATGGGTGCAAAGTTTCAGGTTTCTAGGTTCTTTGCTCTTGCAGCTATGGCAGTCACACAGACCAATAGACACGCCCTTTTATTATTATAGAATAACGAAGGAACCATTCTTTTCTATGTGGTTTTTCGTTAGATTGCCGTATTAAGAAGATGAGCGCGCGCACGTGCGTGTCTGTCTGTCCGTGATTATTATCTATAATTTGTAATATAAGGAACCAATTCTTTTCTATGTAGTTTTTCCCTAGCTTACTTCATTAAAAAAATGCGCACACGCTGTGGATAAGATAAGTAATAATATCCAGGTGCAGACCCTCAAGGTCCACTTATTATGAGCACAAAATTCTATGTTCTTTCCTCTTAGAGCTATGATGGTCACATTTCTTTTCTATGTGTTTTTTCATATTGTTACGTCTCCGTTTGTTAATTGATTTTTTCCGTAACTTCGTTCCGACGAAACTTTAGCGACACAAGTCTTTACTTAATAAAACTGGTTTATTCTTTCTGAATATAACTTTACCGATACACTTATTTTCAACATTCGCGCTAAAACCAACACTATAACGAACGAACGTTAACTTCAACAATACCTCCTGACTGCAGTTCAATTACTCACTACCTACACACATTATTATTCCGTCACGTTGTCACCCTCTTATATATACCAGACTACCCTATATCTAATAATCTCCCGACAATTCCCGAAGGTTCGAGAGAACGAGTCACGTGACCTCGCTGACGCAACAATATAAAGGATGTGCACGCACGTATATAAGTAATAATACTCAGGTGCACACCCTCAGGGTCTTCTTAATATGTGTAAAATTTCAGGTTTTTAGGTTCTTTCCTCTTGGAGTTATGGCGGTCACTCACACACAGACATGCTCTTTTATTATTATAAATGAAAAAGCTTTAAAGCAGCATTATAAGTTATTGAGAACAAGCTAGGTTTTTT